AAAGTTGCCTTGCATTGCTTTGGTTGACACTTCAGCTGCGCGCGGTTGTCATTGCATGTGTGTCTTCGCCGCAGATTTTCGATTGCTTTTAGCGGCCGCGCGATAGCCTGTCTTGCCGCTATGAACCCTCAATATTTCGAGTACCAGATCGAGAGAGGAGTGGAATGGATTCGAATTTACTCACCGGGCACGTGGCGACCCGTTCCCGATGATGCTCCAGTGCTCGCCCCGGTCTACGCTTCCACGTATCGGGAGTGGCGCAGGTCATATCGCTTCCAAGTGTACTGGTCCGAAGACAGCACCGGAGGAACAACAGCGGATCCCATTGTCACGCCCAGTTCGTATGTGTCCTACCACGTGTGGGAGTACCGAGACTGGCAAACACGAGGGTATCAACGACTTGGAGCTCCTTTACCAGCCATTGGACTCGCGATGCTCGTGAATGCAGACGCCAATTCCTCGGTGGACTCATCGGTTCCGGATGGGGCGTGGCGAGAGCCGTCACCACCACCATTCTATGATCCTTGGAACGATTCGGAGTGATACTTGAGCAACATGTCGGATAAAATGACGCGGTTGTGCTTGCTTTGTGTGCGATTCCATGTTGAGTTGTCTTGCTTGGTGTTGTGCGTTCCGTCTCCAGTTGTTCGCCGCTTTCATTTGACTCTGAGCGGTTTGCCTGGTTGATATGTTCAATTGTACAATGTATAGCGCAGCACGATGGGTCCTGCCTCGCTACTTTGACTACGACATCGTCAATGGCCCCGCGAATACGAGTGTAGAATGGATTCGGATCTATGTACCGGGTCCGTGGCATCCAGTCGCCGAGAACACCTTGGGACCAGCCCCGGATGACTCAACCACCTATCGGGAATGGCGCAAGGTTTACCACTTCGAAGTGTATTGGCCGAGGGATAGCACAGGCGGCACCAATAGGTGCTGTTTCGCAGCCGGTATCTTATGCATCCTTCTATACTTGGCATTATAGAGACTGGGTCACCAGGGGATACCAACGGCTGGGTCGCCCACACCCTAGCATTGCGCGGCCAGTTCTCGCTTCGGGCGCACCGGACCTCATGTACGCTGGATTGACCTCTTCATCGGCATCCTCCAACTCGGATGGTGGCTGATGCTCGTCCTCGCCTTCCTGGGGAGTCTGTTCAGTTCAATTCGATTCGGGAGATTGACTTCGATACCGGAGCCGTGCATTGCTGCAAAAGTGATTTCTTGCACTGTGGTAGTTGTGTCTCTTTCAGTAATTGTTGTCTGCAGCCGTACCTATCAATTTGTCTTTCCGGGTTTGCGTTGTCATGCCGTGGCTGGAATGGTGTCCGGATCCTCAACAACCAGATGCCCAGTGGGTCAAGATCTTTCATCCGGGATCATGGACTCCACATGAAGAACATGATGCTCCACCTCCACCGCACACGTATAGAGAGTGGAGGGAGTTCTATGCTCCCAACCCGGACCAAGACGGTGAGCAGCTCAATGTCACCATGTGGTACAAAAGAGACTGGGCCACAGAGGGCTATCGGAGAGTCGCTGCCCCTCAAGCTGGTCATGACTTTGATTCTATGTCTTTTCCTGATCATCACAGCGTGGCCACGCAATCCGCGGCATTGAGTATGTCACCGCAGATGTTAGAAGCGATCCTTAGATCCTCGGATGCGGCGGATTTCTCTACCGAAGAACTGACTCGTCTCCAAGAGGGGATTTCTCAACAACTGACAGCTCGCGCACGTCACGCTTCCCAACTTCATCAACCTGTACGTGCATCACGTGGAATCACACCATCGGAGACTGTTGGGGTCTCCGACCCATACCGGCCTGTTAATCCTCCCGACAGCTGCAAAGCCAAGGCGAGACCTATCTTCGAGCTAAATGAGGACTAGACGCACGCGAGTGGGGTAGCATACAAAATAAGGGTGGTTTCCACACTTGCATTACCTTGCTTGGTTGTTGCTTGTACATGGTTGTGCATGGTGCCTGTTCCTCTATCAGCTGGATCGGAGCCCGCGATACGCCTTGCCTCTTACTTCGACATGGACATCGAGGATTCGAAGCAGCACCCATGGCTCGAATACTCGGTCTGGCAGGATCAGGAGTGGGTGCGGATCTACACTGCAGGACAGCCTCAGCGATGGCACCACGGAGAAACTGTACCTGATCTACCAGACAATTCTTTTCGGGAATGGCAGCGGGTGACTGATCCCAATGGGCGCACTGGTGAGCACGGTCAGGCATGGACCATCCGCGACTGGCAGCATCAGGGATACCAGCGCATTCTGTCTCGAATGGAGTCCTTCACAACTCATCATTCGCATGATCAATCTCTTGGTGAAGTTCGGAATTCCGATGCCATTCCAGTTGAGGAGACGTTCACCTATGCTACTCCGTTTTCTCATGGTGATCGCTCGACTGCTTCACAACTCGCTTCAGTCCTCTATGGCGACACTCGTAATGCTCAACGTGGTGATCTCTCGTTCCCGTCTTCTGAGCGGTTTAGGGCTGTTTCTCGTTCCCCTCGCCGCGGTGGATTTTTTGGTCAACGATAGGGACACGGGGTTGAGCATGTGATCTTCCTGCGGAAAAGGAGACTTCTCGCCCCTCATTGAGGGGCGTGTGTGTGCGGAGTGACAGAATGCCCTGTCACCACCCTTTCGGTTTCTCAGCAGGGGGGTCACCCGCAGTCACGACCGGTGACCCAACGAAGAGGGTCGTGACCTGCGCTGATATCTGACCTGATCAGTCAGACGTACCTGCCGAGATGGTTGTGTTGTTCTGAATGTCCTTTTGGTCCCCCCCTGAACTGCCGTTGCTTCTGTGTGTCCCTGTTAAAGTAACTACAGGGAAGCCAAGCGTTATGCGAGTCGAACCTCATCATACTCGAGACTTATCAGTTGTACTCGAGACTCATCAGTTGTACTCGAAAGATTAGCACTCTCCATTTGGAGTTTAAGTGTGTGTGTGCGTGTGCGTGCAGTCTGACATGAAGTGACCCGACAACCACATACACAGAAGCCACACATTGTGTGTCACATCATCCAGCCACACGTGATCTACCTGCTTGCTTGTGTGAATCACTCAGCCATTGAAATGCCCAGCTCTGCTGTATGTGGGAAGCTTGTCCTGATGCGGCTACTATTCAGCCCATCTTCACGCAACTTCCAGCACGCTGCCACTGCATTGTCGTGCTCGAGTACATAGAGTATTGTCAAAGGTCTGGGGTTCAAATCTATCATGATGTTCATGATGAGGGTCGCATGCCAGGGAATCCCGGGGCAATCCGAGTCGAAAGGATGCAACACATTCATTTAGGTTAAGCCGAGCAAGGGAAGCAATGTTGCAGCCCGAATGAGGAGGGACCCGCTTATATACGGGGTCGTTTTCTACAACGTATTTCTTAATTCAGAATTCAGTGGCTGTTTCAAGGGTCGCTTAAATAGAAAGCGGTTTCTTTTGCCGGAATAACAAACTCGCACTAGATATGTGTACGTGTCACCAAGACAAAGCCCTGAGCCTTGTACTGTTAAAGGGTGGTTATCTAAGCCCTTCTCGCTAAAGGCCTCACTTATGTAGATTTAGAAATTCTGCAGCAGTGGTCCCAAAACCATCGATTGTTGTTATACACATTCCTCAATTAATAACAATAGTAAACAAAAAGCCAAATCGTGACACAAAACAGAGTAGCCTCATTATCTAAGGGCCAACTTGCATACCCCACAATGAGCGGTTACACATGCGATATACCCAGCTTATACAGGGTACGATAGCCCAAAATCCATCCCTACATAGGTCTATAGGTGGAGCATGGCCATTTGAACTTGGCCCTTAGGCAAGCACTCCAAATCCGCTTTAATCTGACCGTTTCGAGGGCGCTTCAGTCAAGCATCTTTGGGGTGGGCAAAAATCCAAGATCAAAGCCTTAATAATTACTCTTATTAAAGGGGCGTTTATCTGAGATCTGGGAATCTCAGCGCAAGTCTTGACAATACAAACAATTGTAATTGGCAATACTAAACTAAGCACTTGGAATCTGAGAGTAATAATAATGAATGAAGTATTGGCAAGTCTCAAACCCAGACCCCAGATGCTCCACTAAAGAGGCCCCACTGACTGTTTGGCACTGCTCAGCAAGCAGACCCAACACTGCAAGCCACGATGCACGCACCGCGCACACACACACACACACCATTGACATGCATTTGCTGCGGAGGGGGCGGCATATGCCTTCTGCCACCGGGCCGTAGCGTGCAGCATTCAAGCCTGGGCTCGCTGCTTTTGTGTTACATCCAGCTTCAGAATTTAGGAGGAAGCTATCCATTCTAAATGCAGTATACATGCATCTAAATATCGCATTTGGGTTGTTGCACTTTGCCTTCTTCCAGAATCATCCCTCATGTAAAGGCAAGTTTTTGCTACCTGCAAGGTGGTAAAGCAGGGCCTTTGCTCTCATGCAGCATGTTGCACGCTTGTAGGGCAAACCCACCTAGCAGCAAATACAAACAATAGATTTAAGGTTGGCTTCAAAAGGTCTGCAGTCGAGTAGTTTGGCCACTCTCCCTGTTTGGCCCGTTCTCACTTGGGTGCATCTGCCACTCTTAGAATCTGGGCTGCCGACCTAGGTACACGCCGCCCCACCAAGCGAACACCAGCCTGCCACGAGGGCTTCAAATCTCAGCAATGTCCGGATGCGCAAGGCAAGCACTATGGATTTGAAACAATCTACGTAGTCCTTTGCGTGATTTCTTGAGCTGCCAAGTGCCGCAATGCCTTTGGATTTTAATATGTTTTCACATGCTGATGGTTGGATTGCGTAGTGACCGTCAGTGCCCAGGACAATCATGCCACAAAGCGCGCGGTGTACTTCAAGTGGTAAGGCCTGGCACACTTAGCACTTGCATTGACAAGCCTTCCTTGCCGTCGAGATGGGTACTACAATCGTGGCAGAATGCTGGATGCATTGGATAACACTCTGCTAACCTGGAATGATGTTATCCTCACAAGTTTTGCCAGCGGTACATAAACATTTCGAAAATCAGCGGGGAAAAGGTGCCCAAATTGACACCTGAGTGGCGCGGCAAGTCGTGGCTTCGGCAATAGCATCAATCGTGGTGAGCGAGAGGGGTGTGGCGTTTTGCAACAGCTATGTCATACTTCTGGCCGGTTTGGGCGATAAACTCTGGGTTTTGTGAACACATGACTATGAGGTGGTCAACAATGCTGGCTCTCTCGGGTAAATGCTGGGTTGTTCAACGCTTTGACAACTCTATGGGCTCCTTCCATGGCCCTTCAGCAGATTGTCGGCGATTCCGTCATCAGGTTCAAGTCATCGGCAAATTCTTTGAGGCCGCAGGCACAGAAAGATGCCCTCGAGCACTCCGCAGGAAATAAAGACCTGCCACGCACAAAAGGACACATGATGCTTCGAGCAAGCATGCCGACTTGCAAAATCCAAAGCATGCTCAATGAATGGCCTTGTCTAATGCGCACCGCAAGAGTAAGCAACCTCATGCCAAGAGGCATGGGATGCAGAGGGAGGGGTCGTAGTCATCCTCAGAAACAGCTTCAAGGAGCAAGGCCAGACAGGCCAAAAGCAAGCATCCGTGCACACAACCATGAACCCAACTACTGTCTGAAATTTTAGAGATGTGTGTGTGTGTGTGTGCGTATCCATACGTCCTCCTCTTTGGGGCAACTCAACCTTTGTCTCCTCCCACGCTACTTTGGGCAAACTTTGTCAAAGAGATACTTCCTATGTGTCCGGAGGCTCGTGTGCTCGAGGGCTCATGTCCTCTTTGCCAAGTCGCCTATCCCCGAATACCTTTGTCATCTGCCACTTGTGCGCCTGGCAAATGAGCGTGCGCATGCGTGCGCTGGGTCTCCACTTGATGTGAGCCAAGCGTGCCAGGGGGTGCATCCGCAAAATGCCGTCGAAACCTGGGCTCAAATGGGGAGCGTTGTGGCAACGTGGACCAAGCGCGCCAGCAGAGTCCACTTTTGAACAACTGTCATAGTGTTGACCTCATATTTAGAACCCCCCCACGTGTTGGAACACCCCAACTCCAACAAGTATTTTTTACCCCCCGCGTAATTGCACAATCCGGCTGGGCCAAGGAAATCCAGAAATACAAGAAGAGTATGGCGCTGACCGCGCTGACCAACAGCCATGCGATGTATCTCCTGGGATGCACGGCCGCCCCTACCACCTTGGAAAGCCTGGGGGTGGACATCAGGCATGTAAACAGCGGCAACACATAGCTCTTGCCATAGCCCAGCCGCTCTGCACTCGAGGGAGGCTGCAAAGGCCTCATGAATAATCGTGCAAAGCTGACAGTCTGAATCACGTTGCTTGAATGTGTGAGATTCTGCTGAGATCGCAGCAAAACGGACCCTTCTGGATGGCTAAATCCAAGAACCAAGCAAAGACCCAACATGCAATGCAAATGCCACGGCCCTGGCCAAGTCCTTGACAAACCATTTCCACACGGGCGACCACTGAAGTTGTTGGATACAAAATGATGCAATCTCGTTAAGGGTCGGAAAATCATCTCATCGCCGGTCCAGGCACCCGCACGTGGTGCTCAGGCAGCGGATGCTCTGCGGGCCGCTCCTCGATCTGACACACGAGCTCCTCGATTGCAAGTAGATGAATCCGATGGGATGTAATTACACACAACACAAAAGGACGAGGGGCAAAAGATCTGGGTGCCACGAGCTTGCACGATGCAACTTTAAGGACCCCCAGTACAAACCTCCACCCAAATTACCTGGATCGGTGCTTTTGTGTAAGCGGGTTTTCGCAAGTTGCTTGTCAAGCCGCACTGATCTCAAGGTTAACCCGCGTCCTCCCATGGCATCGCAATGCGCAGCGCAGCATGAGAATGCCAGTGGAGCTTGTGGTACCCGGGGGCTTCTCGGCTACGCAGGCAGACAAGACACAAGTTGATGCAACTGCTGGAACTCGACCATCTGGTGCGAAGGACATCCAGCGAAATGGCATGGTGCCACTCTGTTGCTTGCTCTACGAGGTCGTCTCTCCTGTTTTGAGTCGGATCGAGCTGATGCAAAGTTGCTGGACATCCTTCTGACCAGCAACACAGCAACAGGCAGCCTCAGGTTCGAATCCGCTGATGCAAAATCGATGACAGCCTGCAATTGCGCTTGGTTTCAGTGTGTGCGCTGCAGCGCTGCACAACGTTGAGCCAAGACGCTGAGGTAAGAACCCGTTTTTGGGAGACAGCGATGGGTGTCATGGTTCAGCAAAAAGCTGGAAATGCCATTCGGGCTACCTGGCTAGCCTGTGCTGCGCTCGCCATTTTGGTCTCAAGTCGCCAAGAACTCTGCCAAGCCCCGATGGCGGCGCCTTAGGGCGAGCTTTATCAAACTCAACTAGTCTCAAAGGCAATTCCTTGTTCAATTTGTCAGACTTTTAAGCAGCCTCTACCCCACTTTTGCTAACTAGGCTGCGACGAGATGATGCTTGTGGCATAGGAAAACCGTCCCTGGAAGTGTTTGCTCACTCGTCTTGACTCCCCTCTGCCACTGCGCATTTGCGCATGCGATCTAAACGCCTTGTTTGCCAGAAACTTCGCTGCGAGCCCGGCTGACGGCTAGCCTGGCAGGCTTGCACGCCAGAAATTTCTGATATGACTTAGCATTGACAGATCAGGTCTTGGTAACAAACCTCTTGGAGCCAACCTTCAGAAAGGCCCATAGAGATCGTCGTTCTCACACCTCTGAAAATGCAAGGAAATACCCCTTACCGCGTTGCTTTTCTTGAAGGGAAATTCTTACATGCACCCAAATAAGGCAAGTCATCAAAAGATAGCGCTGTGAAATTAGCCAAGGGCCCATTCTGCCAAAGTGCCAATAGACGATGTCAAGAGTCAACAGTTTGAGTAGGGTGCCTTGCAAACAGCTAATCCAACTGAACTTTGTTGCACCAAATCCCTCCACTGGAAAACAAGGTACTTCTCCACGACTGACCTGCGCTGCGGGGCGGCACCTCAAGGACTGCTAGCATCGCCATGGGGCCCATAGCCCCATGCGCCTGACGCATCCTTGGTCGTGGAAATCTCCAGAAGGAACACTGATCTTGTTTGCTTTTGGAGCAAGGGCGTTAACAAACATTGTGTTGACGCAATACACAGATTGTCATCAACCCACGCATAGAGATTCGCATTCCATTGTGGGAGCCATGACCATCCCCCCTGCAAAGGGCACCCAATTGCAACAGCCTTCCAAAGACCGAGATGGCGGACATGCTGACATGACGGCGCTCCCCAGCTTTGGTGCATAGTTTTTGATTGCCCATATCGCCCCATACACCCCCAAAGCTTCAATCTCAACACCACGTGACATTCCCTTGTTCGCTTGCTTCCAAAGCAGGTTTCAACAAAATGGGGGTGAAACAAGGACTGCCAGCTTCTTGCAAAAAAACACTGCAAGCTGCTCAGGATTGGTTCATTGGAAGTGGCAGGAGCCAAAACACAAATGCATTCTGTGCGCCAGGCTCCAGCCCTTGTTCTGCGACCTCCCGGCCGAGACTCGCCCTCCAACTACGAAACAAGGCGCCCAGTATCCAAAACCTCCATCTGCAATGAGATCACTGTTATCCAGCAGGGTCCCGAAGAAGGTTTGTGACTGACCAACCTCTCGCCCGGATCTCCAGCATACTTATCGTGCTCAAGGGTAAGGCAAGAGCCACACGAAACTCAGCTGATCAAGTCATAGACAAGTTGTCTTGAGCTTGGGTGAGTCGAAACTTGGTGCATGGCCTCGAACCACAGGCTTAGCGGTCAGCATGACCGAGTCTCTTGGTGCGACCGCCCCTTTCTCTCGTGCCTTGCTTGGGGGAGTCTGTCTGCTCCTCATTCTCATGCAACGATGCACTTGCAATGCAAAGGATTAAAGATCAAAGAACATGCCATGCACAGCTTGCTGGTGAAACTACCAAATGCCTAGAGGCAATGCTTGAGCTGCAGCCTATTGCGGATGCAACATGTGACACATGCAACAAAATGGACTGACAATGAGGCAACTGCTGTTGCCAGAATGTGCTACCTCTCGACTCAGGTTGCCTGTTCATCTGCTTTGCAGAGCACCTGCCATCAAGAGTTTGACTCAGCCTTTAAAATCTTGCGTTCGCTATGAATCTTGGGTGGATATGCCACCTGCCAGCATGATCGCATGCAAAGATCTCTAATTGCATCCCGGGACACACTGCCTTTGTTTAAGCCATCTGCCAACATGCACCTCGTGTCTACCCAAACCATGCGAGACACTTGCTGTCGTTGCAAGTATTCTTTCAGTTTCAAAGCGTGGATATACATCAGCTGATCATTCGGAGTCTTGTTATCTTCAGCGGCGATGCTGTCAAACACTGCTCGAGCATCGATAATCAAATCCAAATTCAGCGCTAAACCGCCCTGCTCCAAACGATCTGCCATGGTTGAAGCATTGCTTGCACCTTCCAGCACCTCAGTGATGGCTAAGTTCAAGTTGACTGCCATTCCAACCAAATCAAGAGCCGAAAACAGTTCTGCAGTATACGTGCTACGACAGACTCGGGTTTGTTTCTTGCTGACATACTCAAGAAGCTGCATAGGCAATGTCCCTTGCTGCACACCTTGTTTGTTCGTCAAGGCCACTATGCCACTCCGCATGGCCAAACAAGTCTGATCTTCACCGCGAAAACTACTGTCAGAAATTGCCACCATGCGCCACGGTTGCTCCAACTTGCGGTACACAATCTTAAGCGGCTTGCTCTGCAAGTATTTGAGAATTCGATTCAAATGAATCACATGACGGCCCAAAGGCTCGCGCAAGTGTCGTTGAAGAGCTGAGACAAATACTGCAATATCAAGCCGTGTCTGCGTTGTCCACGCGACCCCGCCAAGAAGTGAACTGAAACGTGCTGCCACGTCTGCGTTCACCAACTCGTCCGGACACAACCGCAAGTCCGCGTCTGGAATTCCACGAAGTTCTTTGACATAGTGTTCCTGACTGATTGAACGAGAACCATCGGGTTCCAAAACATGGCGCAAACCTAAATGCTCAAAGTTGTCCTTCTCCAGTTTGAGCTCATCAAACTCAACCTCCAGAGACTTGATCAAATTGCGTACGGAATCATCTTCTCCCGTCATCTTCAGATCATCCACATGCACTGACACCAGCAAGATCAATTTGCCACCTTCGTGCTTGGCATAAAGTTGCTTGTCAGTCTGCAGGTGGGAAAGTCCTGCCTTCCGCAAGACACGACTCAGCGCTGTGTTCCATAGACGCGGCGCATCCTTCAATCCAAAGCCCGGCTTAAGCATCTCCAAACATTCCGTCTGCTCATCAAAGGTCTCCATGCCCGGCAAACTTCTGATCAGTTCGGCGCTACCCGGCGGGAGCCGCAACTGAACACGTCGCCTGGGCTTGCTTGGATCTTCTTCAAAGAGATCTGCAAAGGTGATGCCCCTCAAAAAAGCTTCCGAAACGTCTGCAGAGTGAAGGCTCCAGGAGTTCTGAATGGCAGCAATGACCACCAAACGCTGACCCCATCGCGATGTGGTGCCAGAAAACGCGGACACTGGTTGCGCATCAAGAAAGCCTTGAACCACCATCCGTGCCTTTATATCTCGCACGCCGCTGATTTGTTTCCACTTCAAGACCCACTTGCTGCGCAACAGATTGTCAGCGCCTCGCAAAGAGCGCCGCTCCCAAGCCTTATGCTTGTCCCAACGCATGAGCTCCTTGATCATGGAAACCCTGCATTTGTCAGCATTTTCCAGCGCCTCCTCACGGGTTAAAATGTTGTTGATTCGCTGAATGACAGGATCCGAA